CTTCAAAGCATTTTTGTGCTATGGCGAACTATTTTATGCGATAGCTTGCCGAGTCCTCTTTATATATTCTACTGATACCACTTTCCAAAACTACACCAAATAAGAGCATGGGCATTCCGTCGATCTTAAAAAACAACTTAAGTATTTGATTCGCAAGTTCTTCTTACTCTTTTATATAATTTTGATTAAAATTTGTTTTAGAATGGAGAAGAGCAGTGGGAGCTGATTGGAAGTCGAACATACAAATGGCATGGTCCGGAAGCATTGCGATGCAAGCATTGGGACAAAGTTGCTGTCAGGTATGTTATTGAGTAATATAAAAATGCTGCCAGTTTCTTCTCTATTTGGCTTTTCCTGAAAGTTCCTCAGCAGTTTTTTTCCTATGCTATTATTTAGAGGTAAATTAGGGTTTATTTTGCGATCCAAATAGTTTCAGATGGCATCTCTCCACATGCGGTTTTCGTCATGGTCGACGCCATTGCAATGGTGGTACGAATGCTGAATTGGCTCAGGATCCACAACAATTCCAGGAATTACCGCGATGGCGAAATGCGTTCACATATGCACAACTTCCAAATCCTACACATGTAAGCGGTTTTCTTATTGTTGAGCTAGAAATTCCCAATTAATCCCTTCAAATCTCGTTTATTTACAAACCTTAAGAAAGACGAACATCTTCGATTGGCTTTGGATGGATATGACAAGAAGCTTCTGGATGTTAAATTAATCGCACCCCTAAAAATTGATGTGGACTGGAAATGGACAATAGGAGAAGACGGATGCAACAACTTTAGTGTGAGGTAAGCACCCTGTTACCAACAATGAGCACTTCAAGCTTATTCATATCTTACAATTACATTGTCACTTTTTTGTGATCATTGATATCGTACGTTTCATTTTTCAAATTCAAAGTTAAAAATGTCATTCGTTCCCATAATGCATCCCTACATATCTCTCATTTCCGGACAACGCTTTTGGAGTTCCTAATATCCTTGACTGGCCATTTACGGAAATATCAGGGCTTTACCTCAAAAAATAACAAAAAGGGGGTTTGAGATCCTGAACTACTTTTCACCAATCATGTAAGGCTTGATGTAACCCCTGTTGTGAGAGACATCTCGTTAGAATTTCCGAAAAAATAAAGAAAAATGTACAACTTGTGATTAAACTTGCATATTTTGCATTGTATACACATGTTTATCTTTAAAATCAAATTATCATGTATTACTTTGTCTGTTAAGATGCACGCCTTCGAGCTGTCTTTAAACATAGACATGTCTCAGCTCAGAGCAAAATGCTTAGCTAATT